AGGAAAGGACTGTACCACCGAGCTGTACTCCCAATCCTGTGCATTATTATTGTTTTTGCATGTGTTTTGTTCTTCTCTTTCTCCTTCTTTTTCTCTTCTCCTGTCTCCTTCCCCTTTCCCTTTGCAGTACTGGAGACCAAACTCATGTCTTCATGCATGCTAGCTACACACATGGCCCTCTTATAATAACTTCTAAAAGCTTCATATTTTGCCCAGCAAATTTTAAAAAATATAATAATTCATAATGTTAACTGAAACTGTGGGGAAAAATTGGCAGTATACTTGGAAAAACCTTTACAAATGCTAACCGTTCTGCTTTGATCTAATCACTCACTTCTAGGAATCAATCCTAAGGAGATGTCTTTTAGGAAGTAATAATTCACTCCTTTGAAAAAATCATAAAGACACTCATTAAAGCATAATACATAATAAAAAAAATTATTGGGGGCAGAGTGGCACACCCCTATAATCCCACTTACTCAAGAGGCTGAAGCAGGAGGATTGAAGGTTTGAGGACATCCTGGAAAAATTAGCAGGACCTTGTCTCAAAATAAAAAATAAAAAAAAGTGCCAGGCATAGTAATCCCAGTGATTCTGGAGGCTGAGGCAGGAAGATCACAAATTTGAGGATAGCCTTAGCAACTTAGTGATCTTGTCTCCAAAATAAAACATAGAAAGAACTGGAGATATAGCATAGTGGTAAAATGTCCCTGGGTTCAGAACTAATACATAAATACCTAGATAGATAAGTACAGGAAGAAAGAAGGAAGGAAGGAAGGAAGGAAGGAAGGAAGGAAGGAAGGAAGGAAGGAAGCAGGCAGACAAACAGGGGACATAGTTCTGTGGTAGAGTGCCCCTGAATTCAATCTCCAATAACAAAAACCTCAGAGGGGCTGGGGATATAGCTCAGTTGGTAGAGTACTTGCCTCACAAGGCCCTGGGTTCAATCCCCAGCACCTCCCCCCCCCACCAAAAAAGAATATTGTTTTAGATGAATGAAGTATACAATAAAATAAAGCATATCTCTAATGAAATATTTTGTAGATATTGAAAAATCATAATGGGCTAGTTGATGATTGACGTGGTTAAGAGAGGAGGATTGCAAGTTCAAGGCCAGCCTCAGCAACATAGTGAGGCCCAAAGCAACTTAATGAGACCCTGTCTCAAAAAAGTAAAAAGGTGGGGCTGGGGCTGGGGCTCAGCGGTAGAGCACTTGCCTGACATGTGTGAGGCACTGGGTTCGATTCTCAGCACCACATATAAATAAATAAAATAAAGGTCTATCAACAACTAAAAAATATTAAAAATAAAGATAAAAATAAAAAATAAAAAGGGCTGGGATGTGACTCAGTGGTAATGAGTCCTTAGATTTAATCCCCAAATATCAAGGAGAAAAAAAAAATGGCATTCTGAGATTTGCACATAAAACTTAACTATTATTATAATTTTTCTAAAATAGATTTTTTTTAGTTGTAGATGGACACAATACCTTTATTTTCTTTATTTATTTTTATGTGGTGCTGAGGATGGAACCCACTACCTCATACATGCTAGGCAAGTGCTCTACCACTGAACTACAACCCCAGCCCTTAACTATTATTTTACTTCACTGTAAGCAAATATACACATATTATAATTTAAAAATCTAATAAAACATTTTAAAATCACACTGCAAAAGAGCTTTAAATCTGAGTAGTGCTCTCAAATGTAGTTGTTTATTAAGATGAAATTCACACAAAATTAATTTGGTTTTCTAGTATTTTGCTGAAAAATTTTACATCTATATTGCTAAGAGGTATTGGTCTATAGTTTTCTCTTTTTTTTATGCTATCCTTGACTGGTTTTGATATTAGGACAATACTAACTTTTAAATATAAACTTTAAGATGAACAATTCAGTATCATTCAATACATTTACAATGTTGTGCATCCACCATCTTATCTAGTTCTAAAACACTAGCATTACTGCAAAAGAAAACCCTCCAGCAGTTGCTCTCCACCTGACCCCCCAACACACGCCCTTCTCAGTCTGCATTCTGTCTCTACAGATTTATCTCCTATACATATTTCATATAAATGGAACCATATAATAAACAATGCTTTATGTCTGGATTTTTTACTTTGTGAGTTTTTTTTTGGGGGGGGTTACTGGTGATTGAACCCAAGGGCACTTAACCACTGAGCCATATTCCCACCCCTTTTTATATTTTATTTTGAGACAGGGTCTAAGTTGCTTAGGGCCTCATTAAGTTGCTGAGGCTGGCTTTGAATTTGGGATCCTCCTGTCTCAGTTTCCCTAATTGCTGGGATCTGAGGCATGGTATGCGCCACTGTTTGTGAAATGTTTTTGAGGTTCATCCATGTTATAGAATGTATCAATACTTCATTACTTTTTAAAAATTTATCTATTTATTTATTTTTCTAGTTGCAAATGAACACAATACCTTTATTTTTATTTACTTATATTTATGTGTTGCTGAGGATGGAACCCAGGGCTTCACATATTCGGGCAAGTGCTCTTCTAGTAAGCTATAATCCCAGCCTGAATACTTCATTACTCTTTAAAATGTGATGTTAACATTGTAGGGGGACAGCATTCTAAACTTCATATGATAATGCCAATTTAGTAGTTTTAAAAGTATATAAGCACCTTTTGTGAACACCTATAATCCTAGTGACTCAGGAGATTGAGGCAGGAGGATTGAAAATTCAAGGCCAGCCTGGGAAATTTAGCAAGATCCTCTCTTAAAATAAATTAAAAATATATTTTTAAATTTGTAGAAGGATACAATATCTTTATTTTTATTTATTTATTTTTATGTGATGCTGAAGCTATAGAACCCAGTGCCTCAGGCATGTGAGGCAAGCACTCTACCACTGAGCTACAACCCCAGCCTAAAAAATTTTTTTTCAAAGGACTGTGGATGTAGCTCAGCGGTAAAGCAGCCCAGTACAAAAAAACAACAACAAAAAAGATAAACAGTAGGGAACACCTACCACTTACCAGCTCATTCTATGAAGTCAATATTTCTCTGGTAATAAAACTGGACAAGGATATTAAGAGAAAAGAAGGGCTGGGGCTGTAGCTCAGTGGTAGAGCACTTGTCCCTCACTCGTGAGGCACTGGGTTCCATCCTCAGCACCACATGAAAATAAACAAATAAAATAAAGATTTTTTTAAAAAATCCTCCTTAAAAAGAGAGAGAGAGAGAAAAGAGAACTACAAACTAATCTCTTATGAATACAGACATTAAAATCCTCAACAAAATGCTAAGATTTCAAATCCAGCAACATATAAAGAGGTTCATATACCATCACCAAGTGAAATTTGTTCCAGAAATACAAGGTTGGTTTAACCTCTATCAATTAATGTAATATAGCATATCAGTGCAATAAAGACAAAAACCACAAGATGATCTTATAGCATTTGAAAAAATTCAACATCCCTTCATGAAGAAACCAATCAACAAGGTAGAAATAGAAAGAAACTTCCTCAGCCTGATGAAGGGCATCTACAAAAAGTTGAAACTTAATGATAAGAGAACAAATGCTTTCCTCCTAAGATCAGGAACAAGACAGGAATGTCTGCTCTTATCACTTCTACTAATCATTGTAGTGGAAGTTCTGGTCAGGGCAATTAGACTAGAAAAAGAAATAAAAGCACCTAGACCAGAAAGAAAGAAGTAAAAACTATCTCTTTTCACAGAGAGCATGACCTCATATATAGCAAATCCTAAGGAATCCACAAAACAACTACTAGAACTAATAAAACAGGTTTGCAGCATATAAGTCCAATATACAAAAGTGAACTGTATTTATGTACGTTAGCAATATAATCCAAAATTGAATTGAGAAAAACATTCCAAAATAATAAAATACATAGTAATAAATTTAATCAAGGAAATACAAGATTTTACACTAAAAACTACAATGCATTTCTGAAAGAATTAAAGAAAACCTAAGTAAATGGAAATTCATCCCATGTTCACGGATCAGAAGACATAATGTTGTTGAGATGGCAATATTAATTCACATACAGATTCAATCTAATTTTCATCAAATTCCAACTGGTTTATTTGCTTAAATTGACAGGCTGATCCTAAAATTCCTATGGAAATCCAAAGGACCCAGAATTGCCAAAACAATCTGGGAATAAAACTACAAAGCTACAGTAATGAATACTGTGTGTTACTAGTATAAGGATTAGACATACAGATCAATAAAATAGAACAAAGAGTCCAGAATTAAATCCTTATATTTAAAGCCACCTGATTTAAAAAAAAATTAAATATTTTTTAGTTGTAGATGGACACAATACCTTTATTTATTTATCTTTATGTGGTGTTAACGGTCAAACCCAGTTTCCCACCTGTACTAGGTGAGTGGTCTACCACTGAGCCACAACTCCAACCCCTAACGCCAACTGATTTTTGAGTGTCAAGAAAATTCAATGGGGGAAACAGCCTTCTCAATGAGTAGGGCTGAGACAACTAGACATTCGTATGCAAAAGAATGAAATTTGACCCCTACCTCCCACCATATGCAAACATTAACACTAAATGAATCAAAGACTTAAATGTAAGAGCTAAAGCTCTTAGAAGAACAGATTCATGTAAATTTTTATTACTTGGATTAGGCAATGGTTTCTTGGCTATGAAATAAAAAACACAAGCAACTAAAGGAAAAACAGATAAATTGAACACTTCATCCAAATTAAAATTTTTGTGCAGCAGAGGGCATCGTTAAGTATAAGACAGAGCTGGGGTTGTGGCTCAGTGGCAGAGCGCTTGCCTCACCTATGTGAGGTACTGGGTTCGAACCTCAGCACCACATAAAAATAAACAAACAAACAAAATAAAGGCATTTTGTCCATCTATAATTTAAAAATTAAAATTAAAAAAGAAAGTATAAGACAACCCAGGAAATTACAAATTATATATGTCACAGGACATTTATATATAAAGAACTCTTATAGGCTCTCCACTCCTCCCTGTTTGACAGGCAATCACATCTTCCCATCTGGTGCAGTGCCAGCCACATCTCTGAGACACAATGGTGAAGGTCATAGTGAATAGATTTGGTCGTATTGGGTGCCTCGTCACCAGAGCTGCTTTCAACTCTGGCAAAGTGGACATTGTTGCTATCAATGACCCCTTCATTGACCTCAACTACATGGTCTACGTGTTCCAGTATGATTCTACCCATGGTAAATTCCATGGTACAGTCAAGACTGAGAACGGGAAGCTTGCCATCAATGGAAAGTCCATCTCCATCCGCTAGGAGCGACATCCCGCCAACATCAATTTGGAGTGACGCTGGTGCTGAATATGTTGTGGAGTCCACTGGTATCTTCATTACCATGGAGAAAGCCAGGGCTCATTTGAAGGGTGGTGTCAAAAGTGTCATCATCTCTGTCCCTTCTGTTGATGCCCCCATGTTTGTGATAAGCGTGAACCATGAGAAGTATCACAACTCCCTCAAGATTGTCAGCGATGTCTCCTGTACTACCAACTGCTTAGCTCCCCTGGCCAAGGTCATGCATGACAACTTTGGCATTGTGGAAGGACTCATGACTACAGTCCATGCCATCACTGCTACTCAGAAGACTATGGATGGCCCCTCTGGGAAACTGTGGCATGATGGCCATCGGGTTGCCCAGAATATCATCCTTGCATCCGCTGGTGCTGCCAAGGCTGTGGGCAAGGTCATTCCTGAACTGAATGGGAAGCCCACTGGCAAGGCTTTCTGTGTGCCCACTCCCAACATGTCAGTTGTGGATCTGACCTGTCGCCTGGAGAAAGCTGCCACATACGATGACATTGAATATGTTGTGGAGTCCACTGGTATCTTCATTACCATGGAGAAAGCCAGGGCTCATTTGAAGGATGGTGTCAAAAGGGTCATCATCTCTGTCTCTTGTGGTGAAGCAGGCATCAGAGGGCCCCCTCAAGGGCATCCTGAGCTACACGGATGACCAGATCCTCTCCTGTGAATTTAATAGTGATACTCACTCTTCCACTTTTGATGTTGGGGCCGGCATTGCCCTCAAAGACCACTTTGTTAAGCTCGTTTCCTGGTATGACAATGAATTTGGCTACAGCAACAGGGTGGTGGACCTTATAGTCCACAGGGCCTCCAAGGAGTAAGAGCCCCTGCACCACCTGCCCCAGCAAGAACACGGGAAGAGAGAGGCGCTCAGCTGCTGGGGAGTCCCTGTCCCTAACTCAGTCCCTCAACATGCTGAGAATCTCCCCTCCTCCCAATTTCTACCCCAGGTCCCCTGAAGAAGGGGGAGGAGCTGACAGGCTGATCCTCAAATTCATATGGAAATCCAAAGGACCCAGAATTGTCACATACCCTGTGACCTACTGTCACATACCATCAATAAAGTTCACTGCAACCAGAAAAAAAAAAAAAAAAAGAACTCTTATAACCTAATAATGAAAAGAAAAATAACTAAGGGGCAGGGGCTGTAGCTCAGTGGTAGTGTTTGCCCTGCCTGTGTGAGGCACTGGATTCCATTCCCAGCTCCACATATGAATAAATAAAAGTCCATCGACAACTAAAAATGTATATATAAAAAAAGAAAAATAACCCAATTTAAAAATAGGCAGATGATCTGAACAGACATTTCTCCAAAAAAGATATAAAAATGGCTAATAAGCACACAAAAAGCTATTCAATGTTATTATCTGTCAGAGAAATGCAAAGAAACCAAAATCAGATACCACTTCATACTATTACAATGCTATATTCAGATATTAACAAGTGTTGGCAAGGATGTAGAGAAATTGGAACCCTCATACATTGGTGATAGGAATATAAAATGATGCTTTGGAAAAACAACTAACAGAGGTTAACCTCATAAGGTTAAACATAGAGTTACCACATGACCCATCAATTCCACTCCAAGGGATTTCTTTTTTTTTAATATTTATTTTTTTAGTTATAGGTAGGCACAATATCTTTATTTTATTATTTTAGTTTTATGTGGTGCTAAGGTTCAAACCCAGTGCCTCATGCATGCTAGGCAAGTACTCTACCACTGAGCCACATCCCCAACCCTCCAAGGGATTTCAAGAGAAATGAAAACATAATGTCCACACACACACACACAAAAATGTGTACATAACCTCATTATTAACAATGCCCCCAACGTAGGAACAATCCAATGTCTATGAACTGATGAATGAATAAACAAAACATGGTATATGTATACAGTGGCATGTTAAATATTATCTGGCCTTAATAATAAGGAATGAAATTTTGATACAAGCTACATCATGGAAGAATCTTGAAAACATAAAATGAAAGCACACAGTGACAAGAATATATATATATATATGTTTTTGTTGTTGTTGTTAGTGCTGGAGATCCAATGAACTCAAGGCCTCCTGCATGTTAGGCTCTATCACTGAGCCACACACCCAGCTCTGATTCCATTTAAATGAAATATTCACAGTAGGAAAATCAAAAACGACAGAAAATAGGGCTGGGGTGGTGGCTCAGTGGTAGAGCACTTGCCCAGCACGCATGAGCCACTGGGTTCCATCCTCAGCAGCGCCACATGAAAAATAAATAAATAAATAAAGGTATTAAAAAAGAAAAAAAAAAACTATAGAAAGTAGATTAGTGATTACCTAGGGTTGGAGGTGAGGCCTGAGGGGGCAAAGCTGAGGAATTGCTAATGGGTATAGTTTCTTGAGAAGGAGGGTGATGACATGATGGTTACACAACTCTGAATATACACACAAAAAATTGCACTGTACATTTTAAATAGGTGAATCATATGTGAATTACCTCAATCAAGTTGTTATTTGGAAAAACTATTAAATAGATCTGGAAGCCAAGTTTCTTGTGATCTCAGCTAAAGTCATTTGGGCAGGTAGGAAGTGGTCAGAGCAAGCAAGAAAAGAAGTCAGCCAGGTGCAGTGGCCCACGCCTGTAATCCCGGTGGCTCCGGTCGGATCATGAGTTTGAAGCCAGATTCAGCAAAGGTGGGGCACTAAGCAACTCAGTGAGACCCTGTCTCTGAATGAAATACAAAAAGGGCTGGAGATGTGACAGTGGTAGAGTGTCCCTGAGTTCAATCCCTGGTACAAAAAAAAAAAAAAAAAAAAAGAAAACAGAAAAATCTCAAGAGGCTCAGCTAGTCATGATAGCAGATGAGGCTTGATGGACGATAGGGCTCGGGGGTGTATATTCTGCAGGACCCTCTAAGATATCATCACAGTCCACAGACTGAGGTCCAGAACCTCAAAAAAACTGACAAAGCTGATTCTGTAGGCCTCTTGTAGCCTTCTCTTGTGTTGCTGGCTAGACCAGCCAGGCCAGTCCTCTCCTACCACTAAAATTCTTCCACCTGGAAAGGCTTACCACACCCTGCTTCCTCTTGGAGCTCTAGAGATGTCGGCTCCCACTGATCACTCCATTCTCAGCCTGCCTTCACACTACGTACAAGATGGCATCGCCATATTGTAGTTTACAGTTTCCACATTCTAAAACTTGCAGATATGGGAAGGATGTAGGCACATACACACTGCTTCTCCAGCTGGTAAGGACAAGGGGATCAGCCATGGTTCCAGCCTATATACCCTTGACCCTTTCTCCCCACCTGCTCAAGCAGGGATTCTGCAGCCCTTTACTTGATGCTCCAGAGATTTCAGATAGACCCCAGGAATGCTGCAGTTACCAAGAAGTTACCATGTCTACATTCTCTTTCCTCTGCCATTCTTCTAGTCACCCTCTGCCTTCCAGAGGAGGTACAAGTCTTACTGGTGTTGGTCACATTTGGCAAAGGGATTCCTGAGTAGCACAGCTTGGGTGCTTCTACCTAACCAAATTGGTGTTGAGAAAACCCACTTTTGGAGATCAACTTTGTTCCTGTGCTTTTAGGGGAGTTGGGTGTGCAGCATCTGGGGCTTAGCTCAGAATATGTCCTAGAGAGGAACTACACTGAATCCAGCCTCCAGCCGAGATCCCTGCCACTATCTACAAACTCTGGTATGTACTCTGCATAGACCATGAAATTCCTCAGCCGTGATCAGGAACCCTAGATTTTCTGATGCTGAACTGGGAACCCAAGTTGGAGAAGAGAAGATTGCCTGGGATCTTGGACCTGGAAACTTTTTTGTAAAGTCTGCCAAACTCATAAATTTAACATTCTTTTACGTAGATTTAACATTTTACGTCTATCATCCTCTGCCCAGGCTTGTGGCAGGCAGCTCATTGAATCTGGCTTTCTAGGAAAGCTGTGATATATATATGTGTGTGTGTGTATATATATATATACACACACACACACATACATACACATACGCACACATACATACACACACACTTTTTAGTGGTAGGTGGACACAATACCTTTATTTTATTTTTGTGTGGTGCTGAGGCTCAATCCTCATGCCTCATGCATGCTAGACGAGCGCTCTACCACTGAGTCACAACCCCAGCCCCAGCTGTGTTTTTCTTGATGCCTACATATGCCCACTCATTCTATCGTGGCCAGAGTCATCAAGTAAGAAATACTTGTGAATCCTTGGGCCCTAGAGATTTTGGAACCGCACAGGCCCCATGAGATGAAGCTTTCTGCATATTGTCCCTCTTTTGGAGAGCAAGGATGTTCATTAATTAGCATTGAAATAAAGCCTGCTATAAGTGGTGTTTTGCTTTTTTGAAAGGTGTTTCCTGAACATTTTTGCTCATCCCATCCAATATCCTGGAGCACATCTTGGGAAGTGCTATCCCCTTCAATGAAGTCCAGAGTGTCTAGCACTCTGCCCTTGCCAAGCTCTCTCCTCCCACCCCAGGACTCCTCTCCATATCTTACCAGAGGCATAACCCACAGGTGCCTCCACCCACTGGGTGCCAATATCTCTCCATAAACACCAGGGTCCCCTCTCCCCATCTCAAACCCACAGCTACTTTTGCTGGGGTATCCTGAGATGCCTGTGCTTCCCCACTTCCTCTCCAGGGCATTCCTTGTCCTCTAAGCTGCCCTTGTGAGGCCATAAGCATGGGATATCACACTTGGCAATAAGCCAAGGGGCAGGACTGGCCCTTGAAGGACTCTCAGAACCTGAGCCCCTTTTCTCAGCTTCCCTAGTCCCCAAAAGGACTCTGCCTCAGGCAGCAGAACAACAGGGGACAAGATTGAAGGTGGGGATGGGGGTTGGGGGGCAACCCTGCACAGCCTTACCCTGAGGCCGACCTCCAGATCTTGGCATTTAATGAATGAACAACCATTGAGGTTCTTGAAAAGAAGCACCCCACCACCCCACTCCCCCACCCCGCCCCACACACCTTCCCCACACCTGGTTCCAGACACATTCCCCAGGAGGGAACTGGCCACTTCCCCAAACTCAGACACATCCTGGCTGGAGCTGTCTGTGGGCCGGGCACCCCTGGGGCAGCCCGGCAGGGCGGGGTGTCCTGGAGAGCCGCGGATGGGCCTCACACCCAGGCTGGGCCAGGACACCCAGTCCTTGGCCGCGGCCCAAATCCCGCTCTGTTTACAGAATCTGTCAGCTGGGCTCCCCATCCCCCACCCACCACTTCCCCTAGAGTCCTGGGGACTGGGAGGGGGCAGGCGGGGCCAGGGGAGCCCAGGCGACTGCCCTGCGAGTCCCAGCGGCCCCTCAGGTCGCCTTCCCCTCTTGGCTCCTGAGACCATCTGCCCTCGTTTATCCAGTCTTCTGGTTTCCTCTTCAGATCCTCGGGTGACACTCACCCTGTGGGAATGTGCTTTTCTAGAGAAATCTGCAGACACAGTGCTTACCCCCGAGGAAAACGGCGCTAGTTAGTAGTGGACAGATAGGCACGGTGCCCACAGGCCCTGAGGGGTTTATAGGCCAGGGGCTTCCTGGAATTCCTCCCTACAGACGGGAGGAGGCTCCCTGCTTCCTTGGGACCTGCAGTCCGTGGACCCTAGGGAGCATTTCCAGAACTGATGGAGGGACTTGGCGCAAGTTGGATGTCGCCTGGCGAGCAGGGCCAGGGTCGAGGATTTTTAGTAGTAACAACGTCCTGAGATAAGGTCAACGGCCGGCGGGGCCATGGTGACTCAGATCCAGCTGGCCGAAAGCAAGCCTCGCCGGCCTGGAGGAGTGGGAGGGGGCAGGGCCAGCGATGCCCCGCCCCCTGGATCCGGGAAGGGCTGCCCACCACCCCCAACTTCCCAGAGGCATCCGGATTTCCCATGGATTTCCCCACCTGCTTCAAATAGTAACAAAGGCTGGCATTTTCCAAAGGCTCACTCTGTGCCCTGTGCTCACTTGACAGGTATCTTGTCGGTAAGTTACTCCAACAAGCCTCTGAAGCAGAGAGGCATTATTACCTCCACTTAGAGACAAGGAAACTGAGGCTCAGAGAGGCTAAGTGATTCACTCAGCATCACTCAGCTACTGAGTGGTAGGGATTACAGCTTCC